ACTTACAATTTAATACTGCTCTTTTTCCCAAAGTCAGCCTCTATTAACCTGTTAATTAAAAAAAAAAAAAGTGAGCTGCAAACATCAAAAACAAAAGCATATGAGTACTGATGGATTTATATGCCCAATGACTAGCCCAGTGCTCAGAACACTGTAAGTGGCCAAAGAGCCCACGAATGTCGCTGAATGGATAGGTGAACACCCCAGGCCTTTGGACTGGTAACTAAAAAAAGCAGAATATTAAATATTTCAAAGCACTAGTCAGACAACTAGTCTCCTAGACAGAACAGCAGAAGCCTAAAAAACAGAAAAAAGAAACAAACAAAAAAATGCTAAACAACAGAGTGAAGACTTGAGAACATAATATACAAACCATGCCCTATAAAAATAACTATACCTACTCACATGCAAGATTTTGGTGATATAAATGTTAATACAAAAGGGAATCAAGTCCGTGAACAGATATTTCTCCAAAGAAGGTCTATAAGTGGCCAAAAGGAACATGAGAAGATGCTCAGAATTATCAGTCATTAGGGAAATGCAAAGAAAAACTACAGTGAGATCCCACTTCATGCTCACTAGGATGACAATTTAAAAAAAAAAACATGGAAAATCACAAGTGTTGGTGAGGATGTGGAGAAATTGGACCCCTCCTACATTGCCAATGGGAATGTAAGAGGGCAGCTACAGTGGAAAATAGTTTGATGAGTCCTCAATAGGTTAAATATGGAATTACTATAGTATTCAGGAATTCTACTCTTAGGTATAGACCCAAAAGAACTGAAAACGGGTGTTCAAACAAAAACTTGTACCCAAATGTTTATAGCGGAATTATTCATAATAGCCAAATGGGGGCAACAACCTAGATGTCCATGAAATGATAAATGGATAAACAAATTGTGGTATATTCATACAATGAACTATTATTCAGCTGTTAACAGGAATGAGATACTGATACACGCTATAATATGGATGAATCATGAAAGCATTGTTAAGTGAAACTAACCAGACACAAAAAGCCACATATTGTATGATTTCATTTACAGAACAGGCAATAATCCATAGAGACAGAAAGCAGATTCGTGGCTGCCAGGGAATGAAGTAGGGGGGGAATGGGGAGTGACTGCTTAATGGGTGATGAAAAAGTTCTGGAACTAGATAGTTGTGATAGTTGCACAACACTGTGAATGTAATTTTTTTTTACATTTAACTGTTGCAGTTTACTGAATGTATATTATACCTCAGTAAAGATATTTAAAAGAAAATAAAAAGGATGGCAAAAGATATATCAAGCAAATATTAACACCAGCAAAAATGAAAAGATCACTTCTGGCTTTATTACATTAGGCCAAACGGACTTTAAGGCAAAAATATTCATTAGTAATACAGGTAACTGTGCAATGATAAAAATTCCTATTACACTTTGTATGTCTAACAACATAAACTTACAAATGCATATTGTTAGATATTAAAATATAAAGTTGTATGCACATAGTCTCAGAGTACCAGGAAGTACTGACAAATCCCCTATTATAGCAGGATCTTTCAATATGTCTCAGTTATCGACATGAAAAGTAGATACAAAAGTAGTGAGGAATAATGCAATCAATAAGGTTCACTTAATAGATATTTGTAGATCTCTACAGAAAAAAATTAAAGAAAACATTCTTCTCAAGTACATAAAATGTAAATGTACTTAATGCCACTGATTTGTATACTTTAAAATGATAAATTTAATGTTATATGTATTTTAGAGAGAGAGGGAGAAAGAGAGAGGGAGAGGGAGAGAGAGAGAGATATCAAGTCTTCACGATTCTAGGGGCTTTGGAAATATCCAGTCTAAAGATACAAGTTCATAAAGAGCTATCACATCCCGATCCAATAAGGCGGAATGTTCTGCTCTACACATTCCTTTACCTGACTGCGCGAATTACAAACCCAGCACCTCCTTTCTTAAAATAGGTTTCAAGATTAATGTTGTGAGTCCCAAAGAGGGACAGGGGCATTACTTGAGAGGTGCAGCTTCACTGTGGTCTTCTACAGAGGCTGTTACCAGGATTTCTACTACAGCGCACAGACCTGGACTCAATCAAAGGTCCCGGAGGGGATGCTGCAGGATAGCAGAGGGTCAGCTGTCGAGCCCATGCTCCTCAGCTGCCACCACCACTGCCACCAGAAAGGGCAATGGAAACTGAAACGAAATGCTGCCCTTCACCGGCAAAGGAAAGAGCTCGAGTTCTGGGATGCTCCTAGGATTCCCTGGCACCTACCCCTGAATGGCCTCCGTGTCACTGGCGGCTGTCCCACAGTCATGTAGATAAGATACACTTGAACTTTTTGTTCCAGAGGATCCCCTGTCTCTGCTCCACCCAAGCCATTCACCTCTCTCCCTTTGGGCTTCAAGGCTCCACTCCACCCCTTGTAGTTATTTGAGATGATCTTTAGAATCAACACAGGGTGACAACTATAGGCTCCTTAGGTGACTGAGAACTTTGGAACCAGGGCCAGGTATATCTTCGGCTCTTGAGGAAGGCTTACTTGATCTGGTTTTAATTCTTTTGGCCATATGGCTGTTATCTAGATGTTTGTATGCTCAGTGACTAGCTCAGTACTCAGCACACTGTAGGTGCTCAGTCTACAAATATTGCTGAATGAATTAAAGAACATCCAGGACCTGCACTAAAACAGGCACATCCCCTCTGCCAAAAAAGGGGCCACCATGGAGTCAAACACACTCAAATTTTCTGACAAGTATCTCTCTTCTTTCCAGCCTTCCCTAAATTAGTACTCTAATTTTGGCTTTCTGATCTTGAGTAATGGGGAAAATGTGTTACTTTTAAATTATCAACATCCAAAATTTTCAAGGGAAAGCTCCTTTGAAGTGCTGTTACCAGTCACTCTATCCAGTCACTTAAAAATGTCTATTACTGGTCTGGGCAAGAAAATACACAAGATTCCATACATACACTGTCAAGTTTGGCAAGAGAGATTTTAGACAACTTCCATCCTTCCCACCCAATCCCAAGTAAATAGGGCATTTGTTTGTATTTCCACATTGGCCTCATGAAGGAAAATACCTCCTCCACCTAGAAAAACAATCTGTAACATTCAGACATGGAACTTTAAGGGCAAACGTTGTAGTGAGCGCTTAGAGCACTAAGTATGTAGTGCTTTTAAAAAACATACGGGAGAAAAGTATCTTTAATAAAGGTTTCTCCTGCTGGCATTTTCCTCAAGTTTACACTTATACCTGGTTTAGTGTTTTTATGCCTTCTAGAAATATAGGTTAAAAAAATTTGTTCTCCATTAATGTTGGAGCCAGAAGGAGCCTTCTTCCTAGTCTCGCAACAGACT